GCTATGTATTATTAGCATTGTTCTTCCGACGTCTGATTTCTTTTTAATTATAGGAAATGCGTTTTTCTAAGGCACATAAACTTTTAGGATTGACTGTATAGCCAATACATCTTTAAACAAGCCGAGGTGACTACGAAATCTCTGTGATTCATTTTCCATTTACAAAACTATTTTTACCAAGACTTTCATAAACATCTGTCCGTGTTAAATTCATCAGTTGATTTCTAATCGGAAATCTGATTTAGTTATTTTGCAGAGCCGGTTGGAACTTACCGGGAATGCTGGTGCCGAGGGCGACGAAAGCCACAGCAGTAACGGAGTCCTTGATGCCGAGGGTGCAGCCGAAATAGGATGCGATGTCGCCGATCACCGCCGTCACCACGCCGATCCCGAATATGCTCACAACAAAGCACAGGTAACCGCCAGCAATATCTAGAAACCGATACACATTCACGGTCGTATCTACAAATTAGACTTTGTTAGAACGCTATCGAATTCCGTGATCGATTCTGTACATTCTGTATCTAAAACGTTATGAACAGAAAAAAGAATTGATCGATCGAAATGTCGTTTCTTCAATTAAATGAAATTCTCGTTTAAAATACAGATATTTTATTCTTTCGACCATTAATAAAATAATATTAATTTGATAAATCATTAACAACTGAGAATTTGTATCGCAGAAAATATATAATTAGATTCTCATCTAATTTAATTCTCATTCTCATTCAAGTATCGTAGATAGCATTTAAATAAGTGAAATTAGTAGATAAAAACGTTGCATCCTTATTACTGAAAACAACGGAAGGAGTAATGAGTTTGTTTGAATTAAACAATGCGTTGGCGTTTGTTTGCCCGGCGGGTGCAGACGCGGTTCAAGCGATAATTAAGCTCGATACAGGGGACGGTGTATATTTTTTTTCCGGCCCTCCTACGTTTTGGTTAACTACTTTGCTTCGGGGATGATTAAGCCGTCGATGATTAATCTCTGTTCTTGCTTAAAACAGCTTATACGTGCGGTGCGTTATTATCCACCGTCAGTAGTTTGAAACTTCATATCGAGTGTATTATAGATAGGCACTGTTTATCCGAAACGCGTCGAGACGATTTTCGAGAGGAACGTGATATCCTCAATTTTGATTAGCGCAAACTCCGGCTGTGTTTGCTGTTCGGCGTAAGCATCGAAGTGCGAGTTAAGTAAACGCACAGATATAAGGACATCTAATTATCGCGACACCTGACGTTAGACTCAGATCCATCTCACCCTGCCTGCCATAATAGACCGGGCGCTCGTAACACAAAAAATGGAACAATTTTTTACAGTCTGCCATTGATAGGGGAAATATTTACAGCCACAAGCTGTAGATAGATGTACTTAAAAATCTTCGTTACGTGTTAATGCATACTTAAACATTAACTTTAGTTAGGAAAAAGAAAGTAGTTTCTTGAAACAACTTTCAAACAGTCTGCCTTGTGAAATTTCGTCAACTTTACGCTAACATTAGCCTAAATTGTGCTTGGTAGATTGTAAAAAATTGTTCTTAGTTATACGATTTAATTGCTAACTAACATAAGTACGCTTTATTCTTGTACTGGAGAAAACCATCTGCCAATAAGCTTTTCATGGATTGCGCAATCTTGCCTTGTGCTCAAATAAATGGCAGACTGTTTGAAAGTTGTTTCAAGAAACTAC